GTTGAAATAAAGTTTTAAAAAGCAGGGAAAAAAGATATATATATATATATGTCTGTGATATATATTTTGTACATATATGTGTTGATATATGCACAAATTGGTTTATATCTCTAAGTATACTTCTTGGTATATAACTAGAGTATGTAATTAGGAGCTGAATCGCTGGTCATAGAGCATGCAAATGTTCACTTTTACATACCCTCCAGCAGTTTATGAGTCCTTCCAACATTGGATATTATCAAACTTCTCAATTTTTTTGCTGATTAAGTGTCAAATATCTTATTATGGTCTGAATTTTATTACCTTTACTAGTAGTGATAATTAGTATCTCCCCCCTTCCCCACCATCCTCCTCCTCTTCCTCCTTCTGACAATAATGTTTCTTTGGGAAAATATTCTTTTATGTCTTTTGAACATTTTGTGTATTAAATTTTTAAAATACTGCTTTGTAGGACTTCTATAAAGGCTCTAGATATTACTCATTTGCTAGTTACATATGTTGAAAATATCTTCTTCCATTCTGTGGTTTGATCTTCTCTTTATGGTGAATTTTGATGAATAAGAGCTCTTAACTTCAATATAATTTAATTAAAACGAGTTATCAGTCTTTATCTGTGATTACTGAGCATTGCGCCTAGTTGAAAATATCTTTTATGACCTCAAGATCAGAGAGATATTCCTTTACACTTACTTCTACAGATTTTAAAGTTTTGATTTTCATATTTAAATTTTACATAATTTGGATTATAATTTTTGTGAATGATGTGAAGTAGGGATCCAATTTCATTTTTTTTAACATTTTTTAAGCTAAAAATCCAAATATCGTTTGTCAGTGGTCCCCTTCTTCCCCAGTGATTTACAGTGACTACTCTGTCATTTGTCAAAGTTCCATCTGTACGTGGGTCTGTTTCTGGGTTGTTGCTGCTGTTCAGTTGGTTTATTTATTATAGACCACAATGCCTTAATTATTATGCCTTTATCATAATTTGTGATTTCTGATATGGTAGCCCAGCCATCTTATTCTTCATCAGGAATGCTTAGGAATTCTCTTACATAAATTTAAAAATTAGCTTGTCAATTTCTATGAAAACCTCTGTTGGGATTATTTGGAATTGCTTTGACTTTTTATATATTGATATTTTTCTGATATTGATTGTTCCTAGCCATGGATCTGAGATAGCTCTCTATTTATTTATGTTTATCCCTTTGATGCATTTCAAGAGTGTTGTATTATCTGCATACATTTCTCACACATATCTTATTAAATTTGTTCTTAAAGTGCTTTATATTTTTCTATCATATTTTAATTGAAGTACTTGCATACAATTATATTTTCTGTTTATTAGTGATGATGGAAATGCAATTAATATTCAGAAATCGAAGGGAGCATATGTTTGGTGTAGAGGACCAAACAGACTGAGATGATCCAATGAGAAATACTGCAACAGTCAGCAAAGACAACTTGGCCAAAGACAAGTCATCTCCACCTGGAGGCCCAGCAAAATCCTTTGTTCCAAGCAGATAAAATTAAGTATGGTAGTTCTCAGGAACACACAAAAAACAAGACTAAGGAAAGTCCTTATAATCTTTTGTAAATGTGACCCAAAGCAAAGTTTGTCTGAAGGATGCTGCTCTGATGAGCTCTTCTGAACTTGTCAGTCCCTGGGGTTGGCTCAAGAATGCACTTACCAGGCCTATTCCTTTTCTAGTCCTTTAGACTTTATCTTATAAACTCCAAACAAACTGACAAGAACAGACGGAGAGACAGATGGTACTGCTGTCAGGAGGCAAAATAAACTTAGCAGTTGGGAGTGCACCAACAAAATTTATGCTCAGTACCAATTTGTACTTATTTCACTAATGTGGTTGGGGAGATCCCTGAGAGGGAGACTCAGGGGTCTCAGAGGAGTGTTCTTTCTGAACATAGGGTCTTGAGCCATGTTAGTGAGTGGATCTCAGTTGGATTTCAGTGGAACATCCAGGATTTTTGACTACTGTTCTCCTAAAGGACCCTCAGAAAACCCTGTTAATTCAGCAAAGTTTTGATTGAGATGAGTAGAGCATAGTATATTTGGATCCTCCCTAGCTTTAAAATATTTCAACTCTATAAAATGTTATTTATTTCATTTGTACAATCTCCTATTTCCTGTCTCCCCCACAACTCCCAAAAGAGCCTTCCTAACAGAACCTACTACTTTCAGAGAAGCCGTGACTATCTACTCACATGCTTCTTTCAGTTGTTTCTAGATCTTGAATTGGAGCTTCTCCCTGGAAATATGCTAAGATTGGAGACCAAGCTATTGCGTTGTTTAACTCCTGGAGACACCATTCACGCTATAATCTATGTGAATGGAAACCCATTGAATTGTATAGTGGACAACCTACATGACCACATGTGGTGGCTATGCATAAAGGGTCAAATGGACAGAGATGAGAGGAGAAGGTTTAATGGGTCACTATGGAAGGAAACTCTGTGTGTGTGTGTGTGTGTGATTAGCCTTGTGATGTGTGATAGTATCAATCTTTTTTTTCTCCTTCATTTTCCAGAGATCTCCAGGTCATCTTAAATGGTGGTAGCCAGAGTTTTCAAGACTTTACTGGGGAGATTCTGCCTTATGAAAAGATCATTGTTCACCCAAACTTCACTGTTACTTCTCCTAAAAATGATCTTATGCTGATCAAGTTGTCTGTTCCTCTTTACCTTCTTTTCCATCAGCATTTTTCAGTTGCCTACTGTCAAGGCAGAGAATGTTAGAAATTGCCCGGTTTACACCTGCTTAGAGAATAAAGAATCTTTTGGTGAGTGACTGTCAAAAAGAAGAGTTAGCTGCCTCCTTAGATATATTCACATCTTCAGGATCTCTGAGGAACTAGGGGAAGGAATTGGAATGTATTTCTAAGCACATGTGCAAAGCTAGAAAGAGAGCAACAAATTTGGAGCTTCAGAGTGCTTTGGGAATCAAATCTTAAATCAAAGTGTTGCATGTATCTATCACATGGGGCACACATTGCAGAAATCTGGGATTCAGGGACTTATGTTTGAGTTTTGGTTCTGCTATTTATTCTAGGGTTATTGACAAATTCTTTAACTTCTTTGAATCTTAATTTGCAAGTTGATGAAAATTATATTTTTCCTTTATCTATCACCTTACAGCGATATGGTTATCAGTTACAGTGATATGGTTATCAATTACAGCACGATGATAATAGCTACCATTTGTTGAGCACTAATTATGTCCCAGGCACTTAGTATCCTATACATGTCATTTAGTTGTCATCATACATCAAGTAGATAAGTTTTCTTAGGATTAATTATTTTTAAAAAATTATTTATTTTATTATTTTTTGGTGGGGGGAGGTAATTAGGTTTATTTATTTAGTTAGTTTTAGAGGAGGTACTGGGGATTGAAACCAGGACCTTGTGTATGCTAAGCATGTGCTCTACCACTATACTCTCCCGTCTAAGTTTTCTTAGGATTTATATCTTATAAATGAGGAAATGAAGACTTAGGGGGATTAACTAATTGTCCAAGGTCACAAACTTGATGATGGCAGAGCTTGGATTCAGATCTTGTTTGATGTGTGGAGTGTCTTGGTTGGTACCACTCTGTGATGCTGATCATCTTTCAAAGACGATAAGTGAGCAGGAGGATATGTTTAATCCATGCTATATTCCATCAGTTCTTCCTCTGAAGCCCATTTTCACTGAAAAGAGGCCGTGAAGGAGAAAAAGGCAAGATGCCTTATGAAAATGCAAATTGGAATGAAAGTCTCCTTTATTTCTCGTACTTAGGAAATTCAAGAAGTAACCTGTATAATTTTCAGAAAAATTATTGGGTGAAAAAAATTACTGGGTGAAAAGTTTCTTTAAGACATGTTCTGTATAGGAAGCATAGCACAAATCAGAGATAAATGACAGGTAACCTTCTTATCTCATTTGCCTATAAGCTCAACCCTCTTTGCCTTTGTGTCTCCATTACCTCTCATCCTTCATTGAGGGTCTATATTTCGCAGTCAGGCTGAAAGCACAGAGAGTTGAAGAAAGATGACTGTGTCTCACCCACCCTGTGTTAGAGATGAGAGAAATAGATTTTTTAGATTTTTATATCTTCCAGCTACTGTTTTGAAATTTCTGTCTAGGGATGATTGGGAGGTAGGGGTAGTCAGTGCAGCGGCAAGAAGCTTTCACACTATTATATCTGGGGCCCTTTTGCAGGTCAATATACTAGCGTTCATTTTTTTCAAGTGTTAAGGAATTCCCAGACGGGAGGGAAGTTCTGATCCCCTCTGCTCTGTCTGGCAGGCGGTCAGAGCTGCACCAGTCACATGTGGCAGCGAATTACATGGAGTTATATCTGGGCAACCGGATGTATTCTGAGAGATCGTGTTGTTGTCTTCACTGACATCCACAGCTACATGCCATGGATCAAGAACATTATGTCTACAAAATAAGCTGATAGAGAACTCTACTGACACCCTTACATCCCAGCCGATCCATGACAACCACACTGAGTATTTCAGTCTCAGTTTTTCCTAGGATCTAGGCTTGATTGGAGTTTCGAAAGAGATCATTAATGACTCCTGGGTGTTGGCAATCCTCTCGTTTCTCTAACTGCTTCTTTGCTAATCCCCAGCTCATGAGTGAGTGTTTATAACGATGAAAACATGAATGCTGGTCTTAAGAAGTAGAGTTCACCCAGGAAGCTTTTTGGATTCTACCAACTCAGACACTTCTGTTAAAATACTCACTGTTTTATCCTGAGAACACAGAAAACAAGTAGAAATGATGGACAGTAACTATCAGGAGTCTATTTGGGCTAGATGCAACCACATAACTGAATAGTATTTGTCTGAAATGATTTAGCAATTCTTCTAATGACCAAATGTCTCCTGGGTGAATGAGTGTGTGTGTGTGTGTGTGTGTGTGTGTGTGTGTGTATCTATGGGGGTTGTAGTTAATGTTTCCATTGGCTACTTAAAAGATCTATAGAATTCAAATTTTGCTTAGGTTGTCTGAGGCCACTAAAAGGTCAGTATAATTTTTGGATTAAGGATTTCTGTATTTTGAGGTACTGCTGTAATGCATATTACAGATATTGAAGATTTCATGAATGGTAGGGTGGGTTTTTTCCAATACACTTTCCTTCCAGTTCACTGATTTTTTATTCGCTTAAAAATCACACATACTTTCTTAAAGGGGAACAAAGTGATAGAGTTCATGAGGATTTTGCTTGGGAGTGTTCATCCGTGACCCTGAATGTACCTTCTAGGCCATGCAGGGATTCATGGGCACACACTTCCATCCACAAGCACACCCAAAAGACACTTGTTTGTCATTCCAAAAGTGTGTTCTCCACATACGAAGGTTCATTAATCCATGATAGATTAAACTGATTTTGAACCAAAACCTGTTAATTTTCATATAGAATATTGAGCATTCAAGAAATTTCAGAGTATCTGAAATGTAAAATGCCGTTTTGTTTTGTCCAGTGCTCTGAAGTACTGGGATTCATTTGCTCAAACTGCTATACAATTGATATAAATCACTGACTTTCACAAAGCTTCACAAAATCAAAACTGTCCTTCCTTTTGAGACTATTATGGGGACCAGATATAATGTGATGAATGCTCAGTGTGCTTAGGAGGGGTTCAAGAATTGGCCACAGTTAGTAATTTTAACAGTTTCCACGTGTTTCACCCTTTTGTTGACTTAATTCCTACTCCGAGTTGTTGGAGATACTCTCCATCCTTACCCCATATTCCAGATGGTGTATTGTCCTGAGCAAATAGCAGCCTGAACTTTTCATTGGCAGTATCTTCCCAACAACCTACCCATACTTTTGTCCTCACTTTTCCAGTCACACACACCTGACTGCCTTCCTCCGTCTGTGGTTGTTCTAGATTGAATCATGCCCTTTAATTCTAAGCCTTTCTGATTGATTGGGTCATCAATTCTTCAACTATTGGGCATTTTTACTTCTTCATGTCATCTGGATTTGAGTTTTCCTGGTATGAATTCCCTTCTCTCCATCTCATCTCACTCCCTGCTATAAAAAGGAAAGGATAAATCATCCCCTCATCTATCTAATTATCTATCTATCTATCTACCTATCTAAACTATGATTGGACTGTTAATGACTCTACTAATTTTTGGAGAATGTCAGTATCTTTCTAATTATCCTGTCCATTTCTCCTAAACTCAAATCCTGTAGATAATTGATTCCAAAGCCTTTCCTTTCCTATCCCACATTTTAACTTGGTTTACCAGTAACTTCACGAAGCCTGTACTCTGTCTTCTCTCACAAGCACATCCACCTCCCTCTATCCTGACATGCCCATCAATCACTGTTGCATTCCCTTTCTGGTTCCTTTTTCTCATAAGCATGGGTTGGGGCTGATATTCCATGCCCTTCTCTTTAGCTTAAGACCATTGCATTAATGGATCTCTGGTACAAAACAACAGATTGCAGTATGGTAACTGGAGAACACAACACACAATGGGAACATGAAGGCTTGCCCTGTTTGGTCAGGTGGATGGTTCCCCTCTACACCCTCGTTCCCATCTGGTCTCCAACCATCTGATCCAATCATATCTGACCTTCAGCTCAGGAGAGAGATCATTTTTGGGGGGTCTATAGCTTTATTTATAGATTACTTCAAAGATCCTTTCTAAACTTGAGTGTAAATGTTATATATTTGGCTTCTATTTACCCCTAATTTATTCTATTTTTATTTATTCATCTCAGACCTATTCCAGCTTCCTGAAGAGTTCAAAAATCTGATTGTGGGTCTTCATTTCTGATGGTTCCCTCAGTAAACTACTCTAATCTCATCGTGTTTATCGCCACATACTTCTAACATCACATCTTTTCTTCCCCAGTTCACCTCCTTCTTTGGAAATATGTAGGGGATAGATATACAGTGGACTGTGGTTTGATTCTTAGCCTAGAATTGACAAACTATGTGAATTTAGAAAATCATTGGGCTTTGGTTTTTAGTTTCATTTTATATACAAAACAAGAGTTAAACTTGATGCCGTCACTAGTGGACACTGTGACTGCCTCCCCAGCATCCATTCTACCTCTCCTCTGTTATGTCACAGTCATCCTCTAGAGGTGTGTCCTGCTTGTCCTAAGCTTACCAGTGAAGTCCCTGTTTCTGGTTCAGGGGCGGATATATGACACAATTTGTCATATTGAATGTCAACCCCTCTATTTATGTTCAGTGTTGAGATAACCCTGTAAGAGCTATGTTGAGACATTGCTGGGGGCAGTGTGGCATGTATTTGAGAATCAAAATTGCTGCTGTCATTTTGCAACTATCAGGGAAGCTACCTAGGGATGAAGGAATCAAAAAAGAGAATCTTCCAGAAATGTAGCTGAAGTCCCAATAAAAGCATGCCAGAATGTAGGTCTTCTCTCTAGATATTTTTAGTTATCATCTACTAAATTCCTTTCAATGGGTTTAAGTCAGTTTGAGTTGGGCTTTCCGTTGCTATAGTTAAAAACATCTCAAATGACATAGTTTCCAAAATCCCTTCTGTCTCTGCATCAAGCTAGACTTACTGTATGTGAGGTTCTTTCTATTTTTATTCTTATTTTCATGGGATATCTGTGAGGTCATTTTAATGGACACAAATCTGCAACTCATAAGATCTTAACTGCCTCTTTCTTTCCAAAGGCATTGCCAGCCTCCTGGATCATACTGCTGTCACCTTTCCTGGGCTCTTTCCAAGCTGGCTGGAGGCCACAGGAAGCTCTCATGTCCAGAAGCTGATCCTATCCAGGCCAGGTTGCCACACTACTTTAAAACTTGTATGAAAAGCCACACTTTCAGACCTTGCTTTGGGCTTCCTGAGTGATCGTCAAGGGCAAGCTGGTACCATCGCGAATTCTGAATAGTTATCTCCTGGGGCGTGAACCTTGACCAATGAGAAATGAGATGCGGGGTGGGGGAAACCATACAATTAATACCCTGTTCTCTCCCTGCTATGGGCTTCCCTGAGCTATGGTTTTGTCTTTCACATCTTCCTATAGGTTTGCTTCATGTCTCTCCTTGCCTCACTTCTCCTTACTCTTCACCCTTACTTTCCTGGGTTTGTAACTTTCAAATAGTGTCAGTTCTTTAATCCTTGCCTCTGCTTTTAAAAGGACCATCTTTCTGCTAATAAAGCAACAAACAGTTCAGGGTTAGTTTGTTCAAAATTAGTCAGCAGCATCTCTTGGATTTGCATCTGGGGCTCACGACAAGCCAGATTACCATAAATGTTTCTAAATGTTTACTTTTTGGTCTGTACTTTTCTTGTCACAGAACAGTAACAAATAGTTTAGAGACCAGACCCATCCATGGACTACACTTTACATCGTCCTGTTAATACTAGCACGATGAAATCTTCTGAGTCTCAAGTTACATTCTTTTTGCTGTCTTTACCCCATGCCTCCTTCCCACAACATTTGCAGCTAGTGGACTTGAGTGGTTGGGAAGATGTCAGAGGGACTTATATAATCCACTCATTTATGCATTAAGTAATTCACATAACATTGCATTCCTTATTTGGAGACAGAATTAATGCTGTAGGACCCTGGAACATCTCCCAAGAGTTTGGTATGACATTGTGTTTGATGGGAGAAAAATCAGCATTTGTTTCCTAGGCTTTTAGATGTCTGTAGGTATCTAAATCTATCTATATATAATATAGATATATAATATTATAGATATCTATAATATCCATAAATACTTTAGATTATCATTTCACTTAGGCTCTGTCCTGTCTTCCTGAATTGAGGCCCAAAGCTCTACCACTCAAAATACTTTTAAGTTTATTAGACATGAGAGGAAGTTCATTTGTAAGGGAAATAGAAGATGTTAGGGGTTGATATGAAGCTGTATAATCAGATAAATCTAGTTTCAGAAACCAGCCTCACTATTAATTAGCTATGTGTTTGGGGAAAATTATTTAAACCCTTGGAACCTCAGTTTTGTCATTCCAACAAAGAGGGATAATAATAATAATTGTTCACTGTAAGGGCTTAGGCTATGGAGTCAGGCTGCTGGTGTTTGCATCCTGACTCTATAGCCTATTTACAACTAATAAGAATCCTGGGTGTGTTACATAACTTCTATTTCATTTTCCATATCTGTTTTTTTTTTTTCTAGGTTGTTTTATAATATACTAAAACTCCTCACTCTTTATAAACTTATAAGGGAAAAAAAAATCTCCCTGGAGTCTCAGTACCAGGAATTGTTCTGTGTCTCAGAGCAACAGATCTGCTTTTGCCTTTTGGACACTGGCAATCATGTAGAGTGATCATTCTTGGCTGGTGGAAAGTTCCAAACTGAGTTTGCAGCCCACTACTGGCAGGTGGACGGGGACTGGTGTGCTGTGTACACCCCCTGCTTCTGGTTTTATCTTCATTTCCTATTGTATAGTGTCCCCACTTATCCGATGTATTTTCTTATAAGCAATTTTATATTCCTTTTGGGAAGAGGGTATAAATAAATACACAAATACGTAATAATGTTAAGCGCCTCTTACAGAATTATGCCCAACAGATGAGTTCCCTTGGTCTTTGCCTAGTG